GGTTGTAAACTCTTGGAACAATCTACCAGAGAGTGTTGACACGGCACTGAGTGCGAGCTCTTTCAAGACAAGACTTGACCAACACTGGAGCGGGTTGAGGTACATTCAGGAGCCGGTGCATGCTCAGTATTTGCTAACAGTGCATGACAGAGGCGTGACCGATCGCCCGGGCGGCTAGCGAGCTGATCTTTTGGTGAAGAGGATAAATGAAAAGAAAAGTAATCAGAGACGTGACCGATTGCCCAAGTGGCTAACGAGCCGATCAGTGGCGAAGAGGATAAAAGTAAAAAAAACCTCTGCGCTATTATGGTTGCCCGTACAACATCCAATCGATATTCAATTTCTTGCCATGTGCATTCAAACATGACAGTATTAACCATCAGCATTGCATCCCTGACCCTCATTCATGGTTCAGTACTTTTACTTTTATCCTCTTCACCACTGATCGGCTCGTTAGCTGCTTGGGCAATCGGTCACATCTCTGTTACGCACTGTTGGCAAGTACTGGGCATGCACCGGCTCCTGAATGTACAGGAACCTGCTCCAGTGTTGGTCAAGTCTTGTCTTGAAAGAGCTCACACTCGGCGCTGTCACAACACTTTCTGGTAGATTGTTCCATGAGTTCATAACTCTCACTCCGAAAAGTTTGCCCTCACAGTTTTCTGGAGTTGCAGCTTCTTCAATCTTGAGCTGTGACCCCTTGTGGGGCGAGCGTCCGCCAGCTCCAAGTAAGGACACTCGACTGAGTAGTGCCCCTTGAGTTGCTTATACACCTCAATTAGATCTCCCCTTGCCCGTCTATAGTATAAGCTAGGCAAGTTCAGGCGCTCCAATCTCTCAGGGTAGCTGAGGTGCCAAAGTGCAGGCACCAGTCTGGTGGCCCTCCTTTGAACATTTTCAACCAACTGACAGTCCCTAGCATATCTCGGGGACCAGACGGGGTGACAGTATCCAGACGGGGGAGCACTTCACTCTTGAAGATCGTTATGAGGGATGGACCATCTTGTACACAACATCTCCATCAAAACCCCAGAGGAAAGAAATCCAATGGCATAATTTCCAGTGATACCAGTAAAATTAGTTGTTCAATCAATCAGTCAGTAATCAGGCAAACTGGTTAATAATAAAATGTGATACTTGCTCTATCGTTTACACATGGTTTTAGCTTTATATCTTAATTATTATGGAAAATATTAAAGCATCAAATCATCCAGGCTTTTATAAACATCATGTATAATACAGTACAGTGTAACCAGTTTATATAGCATTTCTAAAAAGTGGATGAAATTGAATAGCACATGGATATACAGTACAGTAGTTATAAATAAAGAAATCATGGGAAAATATTGTACGTATAAGGAAGGATTTTGTTAGCAATATGCGAGAACTGTGGTAGTCTTGTAAATATTAGTAAAGAATTTAAGTGGGGAGAGTGACGAAGGGGTACTGTACTGTATATTAAGAGATGGAGTGTCAAGAGTTATTTAGTGGGGTTATGAGGGTAGAGACGGTGGTGTAGGCAGGTGGGTGTGTTAGTGTTAATATAAGTGAGGTGATGGTGTCAGAGGGTGTGTATAAGTGAGGTGATGGTGTCAGAGGGTGTGTATAAGTGAGGTGATGGTGTCAGAGGGTGTGTATAAGTGAGGTGATGGTGTCAGAGGGTGTGTATAAGTGAGGTGATGGTGTCAGAGGGTGTGTATAAGTGAGGTGATGGTGTCATAGGGTGTGTGTGTATAAGTGAGGTGATGATGGTGTCAGAGAATGTGTATAACTGAGATAATAGTGTCAGAATGTGTGTACGACTCAGACAATGGGATCAAAGAAGGTAAAAACTGTGAATACAAAAGGTGGAAGGGTACTAGTGAGGGAAGTCAAGATATTTTTCTGTAACTAATGAAACTTCTGCATCACCAATAAAAGAAACTTGGTGAGCAAAGGTAAAGTGTAGTTGGTAAAATGAACATTAAAATAATTCGAGAAAACAAATACTGTATGTACAAGTGCAGCAAAAAACAAATCTATGAAAAATGAGATATTCTTAACATGAAACTAATTTAAAAAAATAATGATTATATATATAGTAAAGGTATACCGGTAAGAGTTTTCCAGACCTCTTAATTTTCAGAAGAATTAAAAAAAATATAAGGAAAGACCCAATAGTGGCTGCTAGTTAAACAATTTATATTATGATGAAAAAATGTGAGAATTGAGAATATTTAGTCAATACTCAATGATTATAAAGACAAGCCAAGTTCTATTAATCTTGGTCTTCTAGCTGCATTATTATGACTATAAATGTGTGTGTGTGTCATTAACAGTAAATGTCAAGGTATTGTTAATACAGTAAAGCTATTGGTGGTACATCTACAATGATCAACCAATCAGGTTATCTTAAGTAGTATTGTATTAAAGTGATACTGTAATAATAATTACAGTAGTCAGTAAGTTGATGCACTTTTTACTTTTATGCTCTTCACCACTGATCGGCTCGTTTATGTTATTCTAAACCAGAATAAAAACTAATCACAAAGCTTGCCTCTAAATTCACTGCTGCAGAAGAGGGCCTTAACCTAAGTGTGGATGAGGACATACACCAATATGGACGCTGGAGTTCATTATACAGGTATAGGTCTCCTGGTGGAAGTTAGTTCTCTATTGTATCAGTTTTCTCACGTTTCTCAAAAATGACTGTACAAGAACTAATATTTGAAAACAATATCTTTCATCAAATATACAGTATATCTTTGTTTATGAGCTGTGCATCAATACTTTAAGATATTTAACCCCTAGACTTCGGGTCACATAGTGTGACGTGTGGCTGTAGAGCTTCGGGTCACGTCACATGACGTTTTGATCTCTCGCTGGCCTATTTGAATAAAAAGAGCGGTCCTGGCTCACACATGAGAACCTCCCAGTCTCTTCTCAGTAGCTTCTCAGCTTTTGTAATGTCGGCATCTTGCCATTGGACTTGACTCACTTCACCATGTATTTCTATCCCCCTATCCCCAAGCACATGTCTAGTATTGTGATCAATTACTGGAGCATTAATAATGAGTGTTAATTGTGTAAGTAGTAACAACATAGTAAAACAAGTGTTCTGTACCTCATACTGCCCACAAATTAGTGTTGTTTACCTTGTACTATTGTGTCACACACATGCCACTTCACGAACAATCTCGACTCTTCCTAGCCCTGGTGTTGCCAACCTGTGGTAAGGATATTTATTTATTTCCTGTCTGTATCATTCATGGCCAGTTTGTAAGACTAGAATTCCTTTTTATTTGTTTTTTAAATGTTCCCGTATACTGTATACCCCCATTGGGGTATAGGGGGGTTGCCGAACGTAGCCCAAAGCCTAGGGGTTAAAGCCTGTTGAACTTGTAAAATATTAAAATATTAGTGCGTCTACTGTAAACAGTTACTCGTCAGTATCATAATGAAGCATAAGTTATGTTCTTATTTCTGTTACTATGTTTTGTATGATGGTGATCCTCTTATTAACCCCAGGGCCATCGGCAGAATTTTACTAACATATAATAATGATGGCTGACTTTCTCAATACAATTCACTCATTGGATTCTTAGAAAATTACAAATGATTCTTTCTATCTATCTAAATCAGAAAAGATTCATACATAAATTTTAATTGATCTGGTGAACATGAGGACACCAGTGGATGCACCCACAACCTGGCCACAACAGTCACCACGCAAGCACCCAACTACTGAAGAACAATGCATGATAGTTTGGCTGCCACATACAGTACATGAAACAAATGTCACTTGCTTCCAGTAAGAAATGAAAATGAATGTAGAGTGGGTGTTATATAAATTAATAAACATAGGAAGAAAGGCAAGACAAAAAATGTGGGTCCCGTAGACCTGGCAGCCCATTAGGGGCAGTGTGGATACAGCACACTATATATTGAACCTTCAATACAAAAGATGGAAATGTAGCCACAATTGCCCTCAACTACCTTCACTCTCCCAACTGTTCAGTTAATACCCATAACAGCTGGGTGAACTAGAAAGGCCCTGGGCACCAACCGGCAACCCCCAAGGACACAAGGGAGGTGCTGTATCCACTAGGCTGCCACACGCCCTAAACAAGAATGAACAAAATTAATAGAAAAAATGTAAGTTGACCGATAAAGTAGTAATATTTAACTTACATTTTGGAGTTCATGAAAATGTGGGACAAACCACAAGATGGAGCTACAGTGAGTACCTGGCCCCTGAACTCGATTGCTATATACCCTGTATATATATATATATATATATATATATATATATATATATATATATATATATATATATATATATATATATATATATATATATATATATATATATATATATATATATATATATATATATATATATATATATATATATATATATATATATATATATATATATATATATATATATATATATATATATATATATATATATATATATACACACACAGGTTTCATCATTTTAAAAAAGACAAACAAACCAGAAAATAATATAATGTACACTGTACAGTATATTAACCATCTGAAGATTGTTTTTACTTATTGTAGATTGGAATAATTCTCTTATTGTCACATTTGTAAAACTATTGAAACCTTTATTATGAACTCTGTCCACATTAAAACAAATGTTATAACACGATTACATCATACAGTAGTATGGTGTCATTTACTCATCACAAATAAATCTCTTAACCCCCCAAAAAATAAATCATGAATTTACATTGTACTACAAAAATAGGATTGTATTAATACTTCAACCCAAAGGTGGCAACCATAGATTGAAAAATAATAATTGAATAAATTGATACACTTTTATATACTGTATATATTTACTGTAATGTCATTCCGAGTTAGGTCTCCTGTGATTCTCATTATTCAATGACTTTTGTTAATAAACTTGCCAAGATGTACTGTGTGAGACTCTGGACACACTACTGTATGTATTGTAGTCTCACCTGAAGCATTAAAGGAAGACAATACAATCTCATTTCCATGATTTATTTGATCAATGAATTATGAGCTAATTTGAGCAGTTGTTTGGGTCCCAGTTACAGTACTGTAGTTATATTGTGCAAAACTGTGAATGAAATCCAGACTTTATATAGGTATGTATAAGATTTCTTACTGGCTTTAAAATCTCTCTTAACCAGTACTGAACTGTACCTTCTCTCTCTCCACATTCTTATATTATTGTGTTCTATTGCTATAACATATCTTTTGAGTAATATTTTCATGAATATACACAAACAATTTCAGTTCAGTTCTTGAAAAGTGTGTTCTGAATGGTATTCTATTAAGTTTAAATGATAGAAATATGGTGAATGAGTATGTGTGTACCACTTCTTAAAATTAACAAAACTCAAAACTATAAAAAAAAAAGACATCTTAGATGTGTAATACATTCACTATGCTCTAGGGTAGAAGATCCTTGACAGAGGTGCTGGGAAATTTGTTGCAACCTTTGTCCTTAAAGAGGAAGATTAAAACCAAGTTACCATTTAAATTAGGAGGTAACGAGTCACCATGTCACACTGGCATGGTCACACAGTTTCCATTATCTGTCAAGTCACCACGACTAAAAATTCAAATGTCAATCCTCACTTCTTAACCACTGCCTGCCATGTATATATGAGTAAATCCTGTTTCCATTGTTTCTTGTTTGTAGACCAAGTTTACTCTGTCTCTTAACAATTTGCATTTTTGGAGTTTGCACTCCAGGCTAATAAGTTCTTAGTGTTGCTTTAATGGTAAAGTTGGACTTGCCATATTCCATAATAAGTTTGAACCAGCATTGCAGTAAGAACCAGCTTTTATTTTCTGTCTGTGCCAAGGTGGAATCTGATTTCACATGCCTCAGTCCAGCTTTTTAAAAATATTGTTTTACCAAGTGTTTGAACCTTGTTCTTAATAAATATTTCCTGGCAAGGGCCAGTGTTCATCAGATTTATGTCCATTGCAAATAAACAGAGTTCCTTGTGATCTTTCATCACAGAACAAAAGTGAACTCTCACTGATATCTGCTTGCCAGTTAGATAGATTTGGTTCGATCAGCAAGTGAAATGGTTGAAGAACGATCCTCCCAGAGAATGACTTGGGGTACAAATCTCCCTCTAGTGTTAGCTCAGAATAGGGAGGTAACACTAAACACCTTTTGAATTTCTTAAAACCATAAGATCGCCCAAGAGGCAATATTAATACTCCTCATGAAAATCAACTACAGTACTGTACTGCATACACAGCTTGCTTGCTATGATAGTTTTCCTGCCACACTCTACTTCATTTCTGCTGCATAAAATTAGCAGCTGTAGGTCAGTGGATGTACTCACTCTAGAGACATACAATATTAAACCTAGGGTTGCTCGTACCTTTATTTTTCTGTCAAGGATTCTTACCTTGGTGTATGAAGCTGTCTTTTCAGGGAAGACAGAGAGTAATTACCCATGCTGTCAATATTTTAACACTGAAGATTTTCAACAAGATGAGATGTGTTCTGGTTACACAGAAAATGGTGTTTTGAGGACATCTGGTGCTCTCAGTGTCTTTCACCACAGAACAACTCTCACAACCATTCCTTTCTTTTATGAGAAGAGCTCCTTCAGTCAATCCAGGGGTAAAGTGGTCCTCTTAAGCATTGGCAAATAGGAGTGACTCACTAATTTGTCTATCTTTACCCTTTTACTCCTTTCCTAGTAAAAAGTTTAAGTGGACCTGTCTTTACATCTCCCCCATGATTGAGGGAGAAAGCATGAATCAGAACTTCCCATTATAGGTGTTCAATCAGAATGTCTAGTTATCATACAATCTCTTAGTGGATGGCTACCTGTCTTTTTTCAAAACTTTTGGTTCAAGATACAGTACTTGAGTTTTAAAGTCATTAAAATAAATTAGAATGGATGCATCTCTTGTACCTGTGTCCTGGTCAAGCAGAATTCAAAGTTTCTTAACTTATGTTTCAAATGCTATCGAGATCAGGTTTGAGTCCATTTGTGTCTAGGATGTGCCCGAAGGTTCAGGAGGCAAAAAAAATCATTATCAAATTAAATGTCTGAATAAGTTCATTCCATATTTTTGGATTAGGAAGACTACTGTTCAACAGGTCAGGTAGAGCCTTAGAAAAGACCTTTGACCAACTTATTTTAATTCAAATGATGCCAACTGGCATGTTCATATTCATACGGGTATCAGGAAAGTCCTAACCTTCAAGCTGGGAAAGAATTTTTTCATTTTCAAATCTCTTCCTTATGGTTTGAAGGTGATTTCAAAAGTATTCATGCAGCATATCAGGGCCACTTGGAGGTTTACAAAAAAGCATTTTAAACCTGAGAATCATATATATTTTTCAAGGTTAAAAAAGTGATAACTGAGGGACAGTCTCACTTGCTTGGCACTTGGGGGCCTATGATGTTACTTGTAATGCATTAAGCTTTGCTGTGATTAATAAAATAAATGTCTCATATGACAAGGCTGTGCTTGAGATGATCAATATTAAAACAATCATGCTCTAGTTAGTTTTTACTGTATGCAGAGGATTGATCCTGAAACCCAATTTTATAACCGATCTCACAGCCAGGCAACTCACATACCTTCCCAATGGATAGCTGAGAGGTAAGGACACATTACCTGAAATTGAATAAAGCTGACCTGACACCTACCAAGGAGGTATGTGTACCTGCTAGTGTGATGCCACAACTTATTAGACACTACTTTAAAAAGTAACTGCTGCTTTTAATCTCCCGTTTTAAGAGCACTGGTCGCAATGGAGGTAAATTTTATGTCAGATTAGTTCCCACCCAAAGGCTTAGTAAGCACATTACACTGGTCTCCTGACTGTGCTCTCAGTTATACTGTCATATTTATACATATATATCACTTCAACAGTCATGTATTTAACTTGTTCGTGCAGTACAGTACAGTATTCTCTGACCACACCAATATGGTGTGAATATTAAGGAAATACAAGCTATTTTCATTGTAATAACATTTCTGGCCTGCAAATTCGGGGTAACAGAGTATTACATACTGAACTTTATAAAGCAGAAAAATGATAAAGGAGTGTAAAATGCTTCTGAATATTCTACAATGTTGGAAGTGAAAATAACCAGTGAATCTCATTATCAATGTGCTTAATGTTTCTTTGTTTATACCTAACATGCTATGTATTATCTTTACTCCTCTCCTATTTTTGTGTGGAGTGGATCCAGGAGTAAAGAACCCTCAGTGAAAGGGGGCAAACTCTGAAAATTTGTGCAATATGCACAAAAAGCAATAAACGAATGCTAAGACAAATGGCAGAATATCCCACACATACTTGCTCATACTTAGTGTACACCACTTCTACATACAATATTCAGAAAAGATGAACTTAAATATCAACTAAAGAATCTTGTCATCAACACGCTTAATACACTCAAAGTATTACCCCACTTCCTCGTGTTCACTCTTTCTTGCTATATATTAATATTTAAGAGACAGAAGTAATCCTGTAGAAGAACAGGTCTTCTTTTCAAGATGTTTGCACCAACCATAAAGCTCATGCAGGGATGGGCCTGATATAAACATGGATAAGTCAAGTCCAACCAAATTATGAATATACATCAAGTGTAGAACACTTCAAGATGTATTAAAATAGTGTTGTAATGTAATATAATTCTAAACTAAATTAGAAATTTGATAACTAAAAAATAAATATGAACAAAGACTCATTTCCTAGAAGCAGATCACAATACTATACACAAATAGTCTCCAATGTTCTAAATCTACATCACTTAACTGAAATGGTCTTCATTACCTCATAACTTGCCTCCTTTCCATTTTCTCAAAATGTAACAAATTCTTAATATAACATAATGTAAAGCATTCTCAAAATAGTAAGAACAGACAAAGTAAAATAATGTGACTACCACACAAGTGACACTGACCCAAGTACTGCTGGTTCACTGGCAATATACATAATGAATATCTGAATATATTTTATTAAATCTTTGCATGTACTGTAGTGCAATATCTCAACCTGGTCACTTAATCAAGTTTTATCCAGGGGTGTGTAATGGTTAAAAAAAGGGATTAATTCAACCACATACCCCAACAGCTGATCTGCACTATATTAATATCAAAATTAGTACATTATTATTATCACTTTTTTTTTTCTGGGGTGAATTTTCAATACAAATCCACCTACTGGTCAGTCACATAATCTCACTCAGTTAATATTACATTACAAGCAAGCCTATTTTTCAATTCTCATTCCTTTCTCCTCCACATTACCCATCAGTACAGTAGTAACTAACCACCTGGAGAAAACTCCTCCACACACTGAACACTTGAAACAATTTCACAGATGTTCTGAGTACTGCTACTGGATCTCTGACACTGATGTGTGCATAGATTACAGTTGCCAAAGCAGGGAAGTCAGTAACATATTGATAAAAAGAAATGTAGATCTGAATGAATAAGGCTGAGCATTTACAATTTTTGTCTGACAAGTGAATGGCAAGAAAACTTCAGAATCCACAGATATATCCCACAGGATGATTATAGACAAGCTCCTGGGTTTGACTAAGAGACTACAGACTATACTACAATTCTATAATATATACCAAAGGATATAAAAAATAAACTAATAAGGAGGAGATATTGCTCATGCCATTTTATGCATGGCACAGGTTGGCAATAATAACAACAATCTAGTCATTAAATATTTTACATAATGCTCAGATGGCTTAAAAAGTAATCTAATGACATTTACAAATGAAACTCCTCCCATTCTCTCATACATGGCTCTCACACAAATCAAATCTGCACCTATGAAACATACAAGTGCAGTATCATACAACTTAGGAAAAGTTACAATCAGATAAATACTCTTATAACTGAGCTGGTAACTATACATAATAAAAAAAGGGAATTATATAAAAAGCTTTCGATTCTTGTAAAGCAATATTGTGCCTAATACACACTATCATTAAATTCATTACACAGAATTTGTGAGTTGCTCCCCTGCAGCCAAGAAAATGGTAGAATATTACATTAATACCCAAACTGCACTGTTCTACAGATGTGGGTGAAGCATCCCTTTAAATGATTTAAAGTTGACACAAATATAATATGTCTGGCTGATTCCTTCTATGTCTCTTTTTAACATTTTTGTGCTAAACTTATGATAGAAAATACAATATTGCTTTAATTCTTGAATATCTAAGGCAGGAATTCTTGAATTTATCACAATTGTGAGGTGGCAGGGTGGGATGAAGTACACATATGCTCCTCTAGTTCCTCTAGAGTACAACTATAAGTTTGACCAACACTTTGACATAACTGTCACAAAGGCAGTTTACACTTGCTATTATCAATAGGAAGCTTCCTATAAGCTTATATCAACTGAAACACAAGCACTTAATATAAAAAGCAACATTTTTGTGCACTGAAATATCCACACTGTAATGTAGATAACATAAACAAAAATAAACTGCTCCACATTTATGTGATAAATAAATAATGTAACTAATACTGAGACAAAAAACTGGACCTCGGAGATGTATTCTCAACAACTCTCACGTCAGTCTATACACTTATTGTTACCCAACGAATTTAATGAAAATGGCATTCACTTCTCACTAGGTTTTAGTGTACACCACAGAATGGACCCTCTGGACAACAAATATGGTCATATATTTAACAAAAAAAAAGTTGTGATACATCATACAAAATTGATAATAAATAAATGAAATAACTGCATTCCTAAGATGTTGCTCACAAGCCACGAGGTGCAGAGTACACAACATTCTACTGTGTGTTCTTGAGGTGTTTACTATGATTGTCTAACAAAATGTTGCAAAATACAGTGGATTATACATTGCTACACAGTGTCCTAGAGAGAAGCAGGACTCGTGGATTATCACCTGTAATCTACAGTTCAAAACACAATACAGATTGTCACTTGTTCATTGACTGGTTTGGGATAAATCTATAATAAATCCAACTGAGTAAACTGGTAAATGAGGGAGTGCCCACTGATACATCACACATCACAATGCCTTTACATACCATCACAAGGTACAAAATGTATAATCTTATAAATCATCATGAAGTGCAATGCATAAACTGAAGGTTCTATCGTAAAGAATAATGAACACCTCAAGGTTCCCTCACATATTATAATGTAGAAATTATTAATCCATCTATATCACATTGCCATTTACTGAATTCAGAGCTGGGTAACTTATGCAAAATATTGCCCACTTACAGTATTTCAGCTACTGACTGTTTCCATCCTCACCTACAAGTACAGTATACAGGTAGCTTGATAGGTTTGATGAAGAATTCTGCATTGTGGTTGGCTAACAAATATGGGAATGACACCATCTGTTCAAAAGTAAAAAGAAAGAATATGTGGGAAGTACTATGGCTGCTACAGACAGCGTGTACAAGAGGAAATAAACTTTTTGAAGAAAGCAACATAAGAAAGGTACTGTTTATGCAAGAGGCACTGATTAAGGTGGATAAATAAATCAAAGGCAATAATAACAATGAATGATTAAAATAAGAATAATGATAAAATAGACAAACCAAAGTATGGGAAAATGATATACTGTACAGCTAAAGAAAGTGGAGATGAGAGATAAATACTTAAAGCTAAGGAAAAATATATGTAAAAAGAGGAAAGAAAACTGATATGCAGGTAACTAGTACAATGGGAGATGCTAGAGATAGGTAACTAAAACCAAGGGAAGTAAAAAAAAAATACCTAACTAAAGCAAGGGTCAGTGCAAAGGGGAATGGCATGGCATGACAAACAGACAGACAGACAACTAGAGCAAATAGAAAAGATAAAAAAATAGATACATGCTAACTAAAAAAGAATAACATCACAAATAGAATGGTGTATGAGAATTTGTGCCAGACCACAAGTGGGGCCTCAGTGTGAACGGGGCTGCAGGAGAGAGAGATCCACCCAGGGATGAGGAAAGACCTCTTCTACAACAGCCAAGTTTCCATGGACGTGGGCATGACTGAAACAAACCAGTCTAATGATGTTAAAGTTTAAGCTTATCACTTCCGACAGTGATGATCAGCTCAGAGTCCTGGGTCCATCATTACACAATAATAAAATCCACTTGAGTTACACCACAATCTAAGTAAAAGCTTTGGATTACATGAGACCTATCATCATAATATATTACACAGTAATAAAATTCAGGGCTTATACTAAGTTCCTCAGTGAAGTTTGCACACTAGCCACTAATTACATTTTTAAAAGATTTCAGCAGGCAGAAACAGCAATATTATGCCTAATATTGCTGTAGAATAAGCAATAGCAGCACTAGTATGCACTCACAGATTATATCAATTTTCATTATGACTTGACTCATTAATACAATATGTATTTCCTACTTGCATTTGTTGTATAAGACCTTCATCTAAACCTAATTTTTTTAAGTATTACTCTTATCTAAGATTTTTACTTCTGCTTATCACAAATCAATGTTATTTTTATTCTCAAAATGTTTTGAAACTATATATCTATTATGATCACTTTTAGTCAAATACTCACCTTAATTTAGCTGAGTAAATACATTATAGTTCTGTTGCTAATGTTTCTATAATTTTAGAATTTTTTCTTAAGCTTGAGTTACATAAATTGGATGTATCACTAGAATCAATTACAATATCTATTACCAACTTAAATTCTGTAAATTTTCTTGTTTCACCTAAAATTCTGATATGCATTTTGTCTTCCAAAATTTTTTTTTCATTTAAATAGATACTTATGATTAAGAGTCCTCATCATGACTGGCCATGACTGCTGACAAGGCTTAATATTTAATAAAGTTTCTATGCCTGGTAACCACTTCCTCTACAATTAATTTTTCTATCTCAGTTTTTTCTGCTTTCTGGTGCTCCATCAACCTCAGAAGACTACTCTCTTTTTCCGTCACAAATGTCACTTCTTCCCGACGGGTCTGCAGGAGATTCCCGATGACCAGATCATGTTTGTATTTTCTAAGTGACCCTGTTGCTTTTTCAATTAGCTTTTTTTCATCTGTTTCTAATTTGAAAGAAACAACAAACAGTTCTGGGCCCCACACTGACACCAGAGGACTTAACATCTTAGGGACTAGATGAAGAGTAACTGTAAGTGGACCCGCCCCAGACTGGATTTTGTGCTCAGCCATTTTATCTGTTTGCAGGGAGGGAAAAGTATAAAATTATTCATATAAATTGAAGAGTCTAACTAGGGAACTAAGACAAGGCAGGAAAGAACAAGCAGGTCATGTGGGGATGGAAGACTAGATACAGAAATGATGGATAGCAAACAGTTTGAGACTAAGTGCTAGACCATCACTGTCTATATATAACCTTACAGCCATCCTGTGTGACTCACATTATTCACCAGCTTAGTCTTTAGGATTAAAACCCAGAACCTCCTCAAACTGACTACAATTTTCAGAAGTCTGTAGGGATAGTGTTCTTCATTTTACTGTGTCTGTTATCTTCTCATGTGGGGTGCACTGTTTATGTCACATAGCAACTGGATTTTTTACTTCCATCCATTTCCCAATGTCAGGATGACTTTGAAGAATGTGAGTCATCTAGAACAATTGTAAGATTAAAAATGATGGATTGATCCTGAAAACCCATTTCATGAACAAGAACATGAGGAATGACTTGTGGATAAAACTCACCAAAGCCTAAAGGTTTATTCCTCGGTAACCTTAAACTTAGGCAACTTAAGTTAATCAAAGGAACAGCTAAGTCCCTAGAAGCATCCCTAGCCCTTAAGTGGGATTTCTACTCTTCTTTTCAGGGCTAAGGTTGCTGTAGGGGAGGTCAAACTAGACTTAAAATTAGTCCGGGCCACTACAAATACACCTTACTAACTGATCCCACTACCTTCACAGTAATTACAATGTACAGGAATATCATACACAATGTTGATAGATTTTTTTTTAAATTAGGACAATATGAATAATGGCTAATAATGTTAAATGAAACATAAATAATTCAACCCTTACCCTGTGGAATGTAGAAGTCTGACACAGCCGCAGCAAGATACAGAAGGGCCTTTGGTGCTCGCTGCTGCAGACACTGAGTGGCTGCACGCAGAAGCCATAGATAGTCAGAAAGTGTCTGGAAAGTCAGCCAGAGGAGGCGGCTTTCTGATTTTACACGCTGATAATCTTGCCAGATTGGGTGAACCTATGGAATGTATACATTCGTAAATCTCATATAACATTCATGTACTTTTTGTACAATATCTATGTGTTACTGTATTTTTTTATTTTCTGTGGGATGTCCCATAATGTGCATTACCTGACATCATTATGTTCTACCTCTGCTGCTGTACGAGATATTTGACAGTTGTCCGGCAGCCACGGGCCAGCCGGTATGATTTATAAGTGTCAGTTGTATTCCAGTCCCTCTGGAATAAACGTATCGCTCGCCACCCGGCTTTCCTTCCTCCTAGACACCGTGTTTATAGGTATTTTTTAGTCTCTGGAACCTAACTAATTACAGTATTTCCTTTTAAATCTATTAAACTATAATTTGCGATTTGATAATTCACAATGTCTTCTAGCACCTAACCCACGGATTATTGAGACTCCACTGTATTAACAATCTTACCAGGGCTGTAATAGACTAAATATCTCATACAATATATCAAGTTTAACTTAAAATATTCTGTGCAATGGTTGGTGGATAGTGTTCACCTCCTGTCTTAGGTCACTAGTTTAATCCTAGGGCACTCCAAATCCACCCAGCTGTGAATAAGTACCTCATTTTACTGCTGAGGAAGTGACAGCAATTAAGTACAGTGCTGACCATGCTAACACTGTTTGTACTATAAGTTTAGTAAATAGTGTGATACCATATCCACACTGTCCCTAATGGGTTGTCAGGCTTATATAACCCACTTTCACTTTTTCAGAATATCCTCTGCAATCACTCTAACGATGGATCATCAATGATTTATGGCCATTTTCCACACTTGTGTTGGTTAGCCATGGACTGGTAATCTACCAAGTGTATACAATTAAAGGTCATGAAACAAAATTTGAGAGCACAGTATTCACCATTCCTTTCCTATTTCACGTACAGTAGCTATATAGGATGTCTTGTAATCTCAATCACTCATGGTAATATTGCCTTCTAAAAATAAAAAATGAAATTTCCCATTTCATCCTTTTCTGCAATTAAAGTAATTTCCCTGTTAGCCAGAAACCCCAAACACTAGAACTCTCCAATAGCCGGAATGGAAATTGGGCCGGAAAATTTCCAGAAACACTCTCTCCATTCAGAGTCTGTAAATGAGTTTCCGAGGATGAAAATCAGGCGCATTTTCCAGAACAATTTTGAGAAGGTTCCAAGAATATCTCTCCAATCCTCTTCATTCTGGGATTGAATTTTTTTTCCCATGAGTTCCAAGAGATTGCATCATGCTCCAATGAATCTCCATGTGCCAGGCATGTGGGTGGCCTAGCTGCTTGGATTGTTTGGTTCATATTCTGCTACAATTGTAAAAGGTTGTCATCTCACTAGCTGCTGATTTTGTGTACAATTTGTGTTGTGAAGGACACAATCAGCCAAGAATACAGTGTTTATGCAGTGTTAACATAAAAAGTGATTACAGTACTATTACATATACTGTACTATACTGTACATTCATTAAGTGCAAAACACTGGTCATGACTCACTAATCCCCCATCCCAACAATGGATGACCTGACATTGCATCAGAAGGTCACTAGTATAATACCACTGATCCCCCCCATAGGTGCTATGTTATACTGTACTACGTGGTTAGTTAACTCTCGTAGAACTCGGAGGGTGGTAGCCGAGCAGTGTATTAGCCCCTGCCTACTACAGTAATACTTATATAAATGTGGATTACATACATTCGGTTTATATAATTACATCACCCACAGCAACTTTCCTATGAGCCGTGAGTAGTCATCAACTGGACATGCCGGAGAGAAGAACCTTGGGCGTAGTAATAAAGCATATGAGATGCATAACTAGGGTGTGAGCACAGATTCAGTTGATTTATCCTGCAGTGGGACTAAAATCACAAATTTAGAGAAATGATCAACACACACCAGTAAGTATGAGGATCTTTGGTGACTCCTCAGAAGTTGTAACAAGTCAGTGACGACTGTGTCAAACGGACATTCCGGTGTACAGTAAGATCTCATATTTCGCGCAATTTCATTTCGTGTTTTTGAATTTCGCAAGCGCTACCTAATGTAACCAAGTCTTAAATTTGAAGTAAAATATCGTGAATTTCGCGAGATCCAGCCAGCTGAATGTGAAATCCAGCCAGCTGAATTCTGGCCACCGTCTTGAATGACGTCACAGCCCTCATGCCAGTTACAGTTATTTCTGCTACAATGCGTGTTTTGTCAACGCGAATTGGTTGTAACGCGATTGATGAATAGGGGAACGCTGTTTATAAAACACGAACTTTTGCATAAGAATGTTGGCTATAGCGCGATTCCATCCTCAACGTCTTAAGCATGGCACGGGGTTATGCAATGTTTACAGTTCAAGTTCGACATCACATGTTCAATTGATTTGTGTCTTGTTTGAGAAGTGTTTTTTGAGAGGTACTCTGCAAATTTCGTTTTTGGGGGGAGCAAATTTAGCTGTTACCCATAAATACTGTAAGAAAAGAATTAGTAAAAAGAATATTTCGTAGCGAGGACTAATAACGGTTTACACCAGCGCTCTCTGTTTACATCACGTGATCAGTTGAATCGCGCGGTTTTTGTCAATTACTCCGTGATTTTCGCTGTTTTTCTCCAATTTTGTTGTGTTAGTGATGAATACGGAAAGACAAGATAAGAAGAATGTTCCAAGAAGCGTTCTGGTGATTGAATTGCCGGTGGTGAACGTGAAAGAGATTTACAAGAACGCAACTATCGCGTTGTAGCCCGTGCCATCCTAGCTACTGCCCGGGCTGTTATTGTGTGCTTTTTTGGGTGGTGTTACCACCTGTCGAGTCAAGATAATGGCCTCTACCTCTACTGTGGGTCCTGCTGATGCTGGTGGGACAGACCCACCTAAGTGGCCAAATAAGGAATAGGAGAAGCAAACTATCATAAGGGAGTTAAGTTTGCCAAGTATTTGATGCAGGATAGGCAGCGTGTGATTAAGTTACTTGAGGAAGGCCTAAAAACTAGTTTCCGGAAGGCACAATCAAGTCAATAAAGGCAGAATTTGTATCATTTGGAGGTTATAAATGGGAAAATCAGAGGTTGATGTAGAGTGGCCAGTCTATATTGTTATTTTCCCATTACTTTATGAATTTGCATTTGGCGAATTTGAATTTGGTGCAATTTTTCCAGTCTATATTACTCGCAAAATACAAGATCTTACTGTACGATATTTGAACATTAGCGCAGGGGGAAAACACTGTCACATGTCCAGTTAATGACTACTTACAGCTCATAGGAAAGTTACCCGTGGGTGATGTAATTATATAAACCTAATGTATGTAACCCACATTTATATAAGTATTAATGACTGTTAGCAGGGCTAATACACTATGTATCTCACCTCATCTCCAAACTATGCATCTCATTATCTCATCTCCCACAGACAAACACTGTCCCATTAAATTTAGTCTGCGGGCATGAGCGAAAACATTTACGGCTACTGAAAATATTGTAAAAATTTCATTCAAGGCATCTGTTCTATAAGTGTTTGAGAGATGGAATTTGATACCATAATGACCCTGGATAAATTCTCTACAAGAATGTTCAAATAAAAGATTCTTAAACAAAATATTTCAATACGATATAATGAAAGGGACTTGAGTCTTTCGTGAAAAAAAATGTCGATACCAAAGTATAAGATCAGTTCTACTTAAGTTAGAAACACCATAATTTTTACCAAAATAATCCTGAATAGTTTATCTAAAAGTTTTGTTTAATAGATATATTTTAAAACACAAAGAATATATATTATACGGGTGTGCGAGGCATGAATGAAGCTGTGTGTCACAGCCAAGACGGTGGAATTTTCCACTCTGTACTGGGAGAAGTTTACCCGAATCTAAAGTACGCATCTCACATGGAGCTGTATTTATTTGCGCAAACACCTCTGTACACGCACAGTATATTGTAAATAAACTAAATAATATATACCACTATTGTACTGTAAACTGTACAGTATAGTCTGCATTTACGCAGTCAATTGAACCTGTGGAGGTCCGCGTAAAACGAGAAACGCTTAAACGAAATAACAGAACATATGGGATTAATTGAAATAGAGACTGGGCCGACCCCCAAACTACACTTTTTCCGACACAATACGTACGTTGTAGTAAAAATAACATCTTAATTTTATGATGTGCACACACAATTAATATTTAAGAGAAATATCAATAACATTAGGTTTTTTAACACTTACGTTAGTAGAAAAGATGGCTAGGCACACGGGGATGGGGGATTGGTTCCAAGGCAGAGAGAAGATTATTGGCCCTCACCTGTATCACTTGTATCAATTGTATCACTATCCTTCACAAAGGCTTGCAGGGCCGCTTTGTCAAACCCCTCAAAGTCCATATCCTCACTATCACTGACTTGGGGCGGCTGTGGTGGGTGGCGGGTGAAGAACTCAGTAATGTTTTGATGACTGGGCGACCTTGTGCGCAACCTGCCCGCGCCGCTTCCGGCGTAAATGATGAAATGTACCACGAAATTGAAACATTTCATTCTGGCAAGGCACCACGTAAATGACCAAACACGTAAACAAAATCCGCGTAAATCCAGACTATACTGTATATCATAACCACCAGTAAATACTGTTGTCTTGAGCCTACAGTGTTCAGTAAGTGCAGTATGCACATAGCATGTGTTCCGACTTACGTACAAATCCGACTTAAGAATGTCCTCAGGAACGGAACCAGTTCGTAACCCAGAGACCCCCTGTATACACATGCACTAATGGTGATTTAATTTCTACAAATTGCCTAAAATTTTCTTTATATACTGTATATCATGGTTGCGTTTTATGAAGTTTCAAAGATTCTATGAAAAACATTACAGGTATTGCGTTTTCATATCTTAAAATACATTAGAGAAAAATTCAAATGAGGAGCACTTAACTAGAACCTTCTTGATGTGCTGAGATGATTATAGGATAACATGAGTTCAATTACATATGTAATGTACACAATTATTTCTTTAGATATCACCTTAAATCATGCATAATGAGTACAAAAAAAACACCAGTGCTTCATCATTGACAGCTGTCTCAAGAAGCAGCAAAAAGATTGTAATTTAGTGGTGAAAAAAATATTATTAAATTACTGTATATGGACTTAAAGGAGCCATTTGACAGACAGCAAGCAGTCAAGAGAGAGAGAGCATACACATATTTCTCCATAAATAATTCAATACCACAACTTATATACTGTACTATAATTACCTTATGCACTCTTACAGTTATTAAATTTTTCACATACAGGTACGGTACAGTATATTGGTAGGTATTTCAAGTTATTTTCACTTATTTGATAGGAGCTTCTTTACCCAAACAGTTATTTTAGGAGGCACGGCTGTGAGAACAACATAAAATTGTTTGAGAACAACTTTACGAACAAGAAATATCAAATTACAGACTGTCACACAGATGATGGATGATTCTTTGACTGATTACAAGTTTTGAAGATTTTACATTTTTCTATACACTGCCCTATCGCCTAATATGAGTTTGTTCAATGCGGATTCGCTCAAACAAATTTTTTTATTACTACCCGGTATCACTTAACAAAGGGCTAAAATTTGCTCAAATGTGGCTTGAGCCAGGCTAATACAGGAAAATTCGGCCAAATGTGGTAAAACAGAAAAAGTTTTGTGCAGGCCAGTGGTCAAGGCCATTACAGTCCATGGGTAGCGTCCTCACGGCACATGGGCTCGGAGTTTAACTAATGCTTGGTCTGGCCACAACCAAAAACTTTGCTTGGATTAACTTCAGTTATTTTGGTTGCCTTCATCACCATGGCTCCACCTAACCATTCTCTAAGTGCCCCTCTGCAAATGGCAGTGGTGTTAAACTTTTGGGAAATGATTTGATGGACCTGCTAGTGCCTCCACAACATCATGTTTAAATGAATTTGGTAGATACAGGATATATGTGAATTAGTGAGCTACTTTAAAGCTGTAAGATGTCTTTGAACTTAAGTTTTGGAGTGTTTTTGGTGGGGAGGAGGGGGAACTTTCTGGGGTCCACCTGACGCATCCCCTACCTCTCCATGTTGTAATGGGTTCGCTCTACACGGTGCTTTCTGGAAACATAACCCCGCATTAAGTGAAGGAGCAGTGTACCATCAAAAATTTCCATTATTAGATACCCAAAAATAGAAGTACCTGTATGCAAATACAGTAATTAGTCTAATAAAGGAAAACATAATTAAAAAAATGGGAGAAATAAACACAAAGACATGTGATACATACACAAGTGATATGTTTTGGGATAACTGAGAAGTGTGGCTGCCAGAAGATACAAACCTACTCTGAGATGTTCAGCTCTTACATACTGTATTTGTTCTTTGCCCTTACATGTATCAACTCAAGTAAAAAAAGTAAACAAATAAATCATACACATATTTGAATACAAAAACCTTATAGATTAAAAAAATTCATATGCATTTATGTACCTGGAATGTACTGTATAATACAATATTCTTATACTGTGCTGTACCGTATAATGTCTTTTTAACTAGCAAACACTCTCTACATATTTCTAACTTTTGAGTTGCATGTTTCTTTGGGGCCATTTCCCCAAACCACTTTTCCCATTAGACCTAGCCCTTGCCAACCACGGAAAAATTCTAGAATGTAGCTCCTGAAGCTGAAATGGGATTACTGTCTCATAATTTAGAATGTTCTTCACTCACGACCCTGACTCGAGGCTCTTTTAAGTGATCAAGTAAGACTGGAGATGGAAATACACACAATGTATACACACAGCTGCAAACTATTGGGTTAATATCAAGAATGAATGCTACTTCGTAATGTTTAAACCTAATGAATGATTCACCTCATATAAAAAATACCTTGATATTAGGATGAAAAATTGTGCAGAGCTGTGTAGCAACCATGGTGTTAGGAGTGTTCTACACAAGCTCAGCTGCTATATGGTGAGATGTGATGAATCAGACACAACATACTGTACTGTATATCAATGGTTCTGACCTGCGATGAGTGTACTGATGACAACTGAAGCAGACCTCCGGGCACTTCTTGAAGAGCATCTAAGAGAAATCGGGGGTCAAGGTGACGAAGGAATGGAGTAACTGACTTCTCACGGTGAAGGAAGATAACGGCATAGCCATGGGCTAAAAAGTACTCGGTAGACGCTGCTCCCCGAGTCCCAGCACTAAAGTTGTCAACATACCTGCAAATAAAAATTCACATGAGAACAATTACTTAACATAAAAGTTACATGGAAAAAAAATTCTACATACCTATTGCCATATACAAAGAAAGTTTTTACTATTTCAATTCTCTCCATTTACATCTTTACGTGGAAAATGAAGTGAAACCTAGTTTAGGTACATCTACTTATTGTTATGATAACAGAGTCCATGTGAGCCTTATTTCTTATTTAGTACAGAGATATCTTCTGTATTTATATTTCTAGTGATATAACAATGGAATTTCGTATAGTACAGTGCTGTACACTGAAGTACCCCAAGTAGTATAAATAGTTTTTCTTTAATATCTGTACCCCAGGAAATGAATGTGGTTTTATCCGCGCTGTCCCGTTATAATATTACTGAGTATTATAAATCATATACGTATCATGGATTATGATATTTCACTACAGTACAGACAGTGCTTAGGTTCTAGGTGATTAGCCCTAAGATGTACTGGTATCAACCCCTTCAAAGTAAAGAGTCCCTCATGAATACTAAAAGATCATGGTTGGCTGTGAACAGGGAGTTGGTATACATTCACTGACTCAAAAATCACAAATGGCAAGGGCTGACTACAGTGTTATTATTAATCAGTACCTGACAGTGTTCCTCTCAAAGGGAACAGTTGTGCCCCCAGAAGTTACAAGGGCAATAGGGTTTCTGTTGACATGCAGCTGACAGAAGGCTTCTAGCTGAGCACAGCTTACATCATAGCCCCGGGGTGCTGGGTTCTCAGCAAAATACTGCTCCCACTCATCCATATCTCTGGATATTCTGAAAATATGATTCTCATGGTCACTCAATCTTTCCTTCCCCCACACACCATTCTGTACTTGCATTAAATACAATAAAATGAACACATCAGTGAAGACCCAATAAATGTATAGAGAGGAGCTGCAACCATATGAGTTGGATCTTATTTATGGGATATTTATTGATGTATTGTTACAAGTATATGATGGCAATTTCTGTGTCAGAGAACAAAGACAAAGTATAAATTCATACATATGGTGTTAAACTGTCCACACAACTTCCTTTACTAATACCAAAGACTGCAAGAGTATGTAATTTCTGATGGTAAATAAAATGAACCATCCAAAACCAAACTTAAAAATCTTTACTTATTATATACAGTAGTTAAGTTAGGTTAGGTAGGTTTAGTAGGTCAGATACTTGTTTAAAGTGAGTATCACTAACCAGGCTGTTAGAGGACATGTGTAAAGTGAAAGAATTTGGGTAAATTTTTACAAGTAGAAAACCATGGATTTTAACATCGGAAAAACACATTGCTCAACAACCAAAAAGCCCCAAAACTAACCAAACAACATAACTTAACATAACCTAACCTAGAGGCTCATTGGTTGTCTACTTGTAAAAAAATACCGAATTTGTAGTTCATGAATCAAATTAAAACCTAATTTATCCTACCTAACCTAATTTAATCTAATGCAGCCTTTATCTAACCTAACACTCTGATTAATTTTAGTTAAATAAAAATAATTTGATAAAAAATATACGTGAAAATTCCCCTACAAATATGACATCTCTAAACCTTCACCAAATCCTTGACCCTGTCTAAATATTGTCCCACTTCTATACCTTTCTTCTATATCTTCACCCAAATTTTTGCATTAACAAGCAAACACTCAATATTTAATAAAAAATCTATCTGGCCTATTTTATTCAGAACTAACTTTTGGGGATCATCATGTATGGGTATCCAAAATAACCTGAATGTAAAAGGCACATAATGACATACCACTTCATTACAAGATTCATAAATCATTAAATATGAAATGATAAGCCACCTTTCCATGCTTTTCGACACCAATTACACTGATACTTTGTTAACGTTACGGAAAATACCTAGAAATACTGTGATTATTACGTTCAACCTTGTAATGAAGTTAGTTATTAGAATGTTATTGGTGCTTAGACAGTTTCTACATTCTAAGCCTAAAAATAATATTACACATTCACTAAAGCACGTGCATTACGAATCGAGGCTAATAAGTAATAAAATAAATGAAAACATCACCAAATTACAAGGGAAATGTTCTGCAGATAATCGTGAGACGGTCAACACCCTAACCCGGTTCATTGCCGGCAAATAATATGTATGCAGTGCATGACTCAGAGAACCAACATTGTTTTTGATCTCTCAAGACCAATGAATATATTTTTTCATTAAAATTTTATTTATTTAACCTTATTTATATATCTTGTTTCAAATAATTATGGTAATCTGTGTCATAATATGAGAGGTGAGGACCTTTTTAATTACTTGTTATTTTGACGCAACCTTGCTGTTTATCTGTAAACTACGAGCGTAATATTACTTAAATCCACAAACACTGATGCTTGGGAATAGATATGTATTAAGCCTAAAAATAATAACAATTATTTATAAATAAACCTAAAATGGCAGACTACACATATAAAGCATTATATAACGGTATTACAGCATAAAGAAAAGTTAAATGCCGGGAAAATCAAAACACTAACAGCTATTCCTCTGACTTCCGAAGTTATTTTATGGCAACTTAGGGTTTCCAGACTGGTATTTCTTCGAGAGTACTGATGATAGCTTAGTACTGTATTTCCTCATTGTAGCATCATTAGGTGCCAATCGACACAGCCATCTTAGTCGGATGGTTGTGAAACTGTCACCAGTGAATAATGTTTTTTCCTCAAACCTAGTTCACTACTGACTTTTTCAGCATAATAGGAAAAACATATTATTTAGGCATATACAGTATCTTCATTGTACGAACAGCACAATTAGGTCTTTTTATCAGATTTTTATATACAGTATATTTTAAACTTTTGTCAGCTGTAAATTTGGGGGATAACATTGCTCATCCCCCTCCCTAATCCCAAAACTGGTAGGGATATATTCCCCAGTGTTCATTAGTGTAGTGCTGTACTAGATTTGCATATTTGAGTTCTTGTTACAAAGCTCAATGAGATAGATTATTTAAGTTTGCTGCTTAAGTAAGAGATTATCATTTTTGTAACATTATGATAAAGTGTTCCTGTATTGTGCTGTCATTTCTTTTGTTGCAGTGGCTAAAAATTAAGCTGAGGGTACGGGATTCGGGGAAATGTCCTAGCGTGGATAAAAGACTTTCTACATAACCGCAAGCAGTGTGGTGGTTAATGGTACGAAATCATCATCTGTACCCGTCACAAGCAGGTACCACAGGGCAGTGTATTGGGCCCGCTGCTTTTTGTTTGCTTCATAAATGACATGCCTGAAAATGTACACTCCTCCATACAGATGTTTGCGGATGACGCCAAGTTATTTCGGGAAATTAAGAACCAAACGGATTGTGAAGAGCTGCAAAAGGATTTCTGTGAGCTTCAAGAGTGGTCGAAGAAGTGGCTGCTAAGATTCAATGTCACGAAGTGTAAGAGGATGCACCTGGGGCGTACCAACGGTAAGGAGATGTATCATATGTCCCAACGGGACGAAGAGACTGCATTAAATGAGACGGAAAGTGAAAAGGACTTAGGTGTATGCGTTGACAATGAACTGAAGTTCTCGGGCCATTGCGAGAAGAAGGTAAATCAGGCGACTAACTTATTAGGTCTTGTAAGAAGGTCGTTCAGATATCCCTCTTAACCATCTTCAAGAGTGAAGTGCTTCCCGTCTGGATACTGTCACCCCGTCTGGTCCCCGAGATATGCCAGGGACTGTCAGTTGATTGAAAATGTCCAAAGAAGGGCCACCAGACTGGTGCCTGCACTGCGGTACCTCAGCTACCCTGAGAGATTGGAGCGCCTGAACTTGCCAAGCTTATACTACAGACGGGCAAGGGGAGATCTAATTGAGGTGTACAAGCATATCAAAGGGCACTACTCAGTCGAGTGCCCCTACCTGGAGCTGGCAGACGCCCGTCCCACAAGGAGTCATAGCTCAAGGTTAAGGAAGTCGCAAATCCAGAAAACTATGAGGGGTAACTTTTTCGGAATGAGAGTTGTGAACTCATGGAACATTCTGCCAGAGAGTGTTGTGACGGCACCGAGTGTGAGCTCTTTCAAGACCAGACTACAGTAGACCAACACTAGAACAGGTTCAGGTACATTCAGAAGCCGGTGCATGCCCAGTAATTGCCAACAGTGCGTAACAGAGACGTGGCCGATCGCCCAAGCGGCTAACAAGCCGATCAGTGGTGAAGAGGATAAAACTAACACTAAAACATTAAACTCACTGCGCTAGTAGTGTCATAGAAAACGGTAAACTTTTGGAAGGGGTAGTTCGTATGCTGTATGTTGATATATACGAATTATACCAATGTCCGTGCATATGATCTTAAGTATGTGCACTGATAGTATTAAGGAAGAACTCAAGGTATCTATATGATGATTGGGAAGGGCCAATTTATACAGACTAGTGTACTATGGTGAATAAGTGTGACTGTCTGAAGGTTATAGTATGTAATCTGAGTACGATTAGCAAACATATTTATCTCGGGTATCAGATGAAAATATATGAAACCAATGATCTGGAAAAAGAATAAATGTTTTAGACATAGATTAAGTTTTCGAGTTGACCCATAAACTATATACTCCATGGAGAAAATCGTATGTACTTCGATATGAGCTTAATACACATCGTTACCCCATGTGACGAATAACCACGAACAGAGCAATGATTCGAAAATCCTCTGAGCGTGTTAAACAAGTGCAAAGTGTGGGGGAATGAACCATACATACAAATTAATATCAAGTATCAAGGCCTTTGTCCATTTGGCGCCTGAACCACCTGCGGCTACAGTTTCAAGATAATGAGATAGCCAATGTAATTTACCCAGAACCTGACAAACCAGACACTTATTGTAGTATGTAATTTAGAATTAAGGTATGTAACTATAAGACAAAGTCACAATATATAAGAAAGTGTATGTGTGGGGGCCAGAATAAAGATATGGTGAAAATTTAAGCATTGGCAACCTTAGCCTATTCCAGTTCTCACTGGAAATCTATTAATTAACTTATTATATTAATAACATTAGGCAAGGCTTTAAGATGTATATAAAATGTCGGATAAGCCTCTTTAAGTACGCTGACGTATTACCCGCTATAGTGCACTGACCTGTGTGTATGAGATGTGAAGCCCGACTGACTGGGGAGTGGCTCACTCCTCAGTCAGTCGGGCTTGGTGAAGAGGATAAAAGAAAAAGAAAAGTAACAGAGACGTGACCGATCGCCTAAGCGGCTAACGAGTCAATCAGTGGTGAAGAGGATAAAAGTAAGTAAAAGTATGGAGAGAGAAGACCTTACTTGATTATTTAGAGAAGGTCGGGTATATATGTGTGGTGAAGTGACCTGTAATAGTTTATTTGGGGAAGTTCAACTTTTGGTATTGTGACGGAATGCAGTATATTTATATTAAGAAATAAAGTCTTGGTTGGTGTTTCACCCTTCCTTCCACTCTCGATTTGATTAATGAAAAACACGAACTCATAGTGCCTGGCTTGCTCCGCCAGCTACCTAACAAAAACAAAACACTACACCTACTGTCCATGTGGTCTAGTGGCAGCAACCTTTAGCTAAGACGTAAGTTATGTATCCCTAGAATTAAGTGACCACATCGAAGGGCAGTATACCCCAATTACAAAAATATGAAGTTGCAATATATATATATATATATATATATATATATATATATATATATATATATATATATATATATATATATATATATATATAATATATATATATATATATATATATATATATATATATATATATATATATATATATATATATATATATATATATACACATTTGATTTATGTACAAAAAAATCGAAGTTACCTTTTTCTCAGTACAATATTAGATGGTGAGGTGGTGACACAGACATTTCAGGACTTCCTTTACTGGACATGACCATTTTATAAAGATAACAAAACTAAAACAATATACAATACTGTACTGTATTGAGTGATTAAATAAGCTACAAATAATAAATATGCGGTGATTTACCAGGTAGTTATCATTGCTCACAGGAACACGAGGTGATGCAGTGGCAAGATGACTCAAGATACTTCCACTGTGGGAATGCTGATGTGTAAAGTATCCCAGAGTTTGATCTGATATCAGTAGAAATAATAAAATGGTGCAGGGATGAGTTTAGCATTTCTTCTTTATATAAAAGCTTATCAAAAGTCAAATAGTTATCCCAAAAGACCAGACTACTGTAGTCTCCATGTGGTGTCTTCTCATGTGAGTAGCCCTTAATAAGGATTTGGTCAAACACAATTTGTACTAATCACTTTGTATTTAGTTACATATCACTCTTGGTGCTCGAGCAATAGTTTCTGGTGGTGATTCTGTGCATTTTTCTAGCAGGAAGCATCTCAAATTTTTTTTAAAAAATACTGCATATGTTGTTGAACACGGGATAAATCTTTTACTCTGATTGCTCCCACGTGCTTCCATGGTGCACACTTGCTCTGTTAGATATTGGGTTATCTATGTTAAGCCACAACTTGTACTAGTATTTAGGACTTTGAAATTTATAAGGTAAAGTAGAATCATTCCCACCAGAGTGATCCTGATAGGACCACATAAATATCCTAGTCAGAGAGAGGGCATTGACCTCTACCCCTTGCCATCTTGATACACACTGTCCACTGGGCAAGGTGTGCAGTGAGGTGACTCTGGATCCAGGTTAAGATGTCAGAGGCATGGGCGTCCACAGAAAAAAATGCAGGGGGGGGCCAATGTTATCCTGAATTCGACGTGTGAAGTGTGAAGACATCATTGACAATTTCGGAAGAGATCCCCGACGGCTCCAATTCCTGTTCCAAGAGTAGTAACCTGCTCTAACTGAATGAACTGTTGAGAAATGTTTATGTTATTTTATTCATTTTGTATTTTCCATGTAATTTTTTCCAATTTTTTATTTTCCAGGGGGGGGGGGGCAAATGCCCCCCCCCCCTTGCCTCTCCCTGCGGACGCCCATGGTCAGAGGTGTAAAAGTTTAACAAACATGGAATTGGAATGTTTGTGTTTGGTTTGTGAAAGGAAAGACGATGAATTGTAGAACTACATTGTTACTAACAAGGGGATGGGGGGATAGCTAAATTGTTGCCACTCATTGGCTTAA